ATTGGTAGCTTGATGGGGATGGCATTGAATCTATAAATTACCTTGGGCAGTGTGGCCATTTTCACAATATTGATTCTTCCTATCCATGAGCATAGAATGTTCTTCCATTTGTTTGTGTCCTCTTTTATTTCATTGAGCAGTGGTTTGTAGTTGTCCTTGAAGAGGTCATTCACATCCCTTGTAAGTTGTATTCCTAGGTATTTTATTCTCTTTGAAGCAATTATGAATGGGAGTTCACTCATGATTTGGCTCTCTGTTATTGGTGTATAGGAATGCTTGTGATTTTTGCACATTGATTTTCGCAAGGACAAAAACAAACACTGCACATTCTCACTCATAGGTGGAAATTGAATAATGAGAACATTTGGACACAGGAAGGGGAACATCACACACCAGGGCCTGTCATGGGGTTGGGGGAGTGGGGAGGGATAGCGGGGAGGGATAGCATTAGGAGATATACCTAATGTAAATGACAAGTTAATGGGTGCAGCACACCTACATGGCATATGTATACATTTGTAACAAACCTGCACATTGTGCGCATGTACCCTAGAACTTAAAGTATAATAATAATAAAAAAAAGAGTTTAATGCATGCAGAGCCAGGTAAATGGGAGACTGGAGTTTTATTGTTACTCAAATCAGCCATCCCCAAACTTTGGAGGTGAGAGTTTGTTAAAGATATTTCTGCAGGCAGAAGGCTAGGGAATGGGGAAGGCTGATTGGTCGGGTTGGGGATGAAATCATATGGAGTTGAAGCTGGTTTTTCTTGCTGTCTTCTGTTCCTGGGTGGGATCGCAGAACTAGTTGAACCGGATTACCCTTGTGGGTGACACCAGTTGGTTCATCAGAAACATCTCTGAACACCAATGTTAGGTTTTACAACAGTGATGTTATCCACAGGAGCAATTGGGGAGGTTGGGAATACTCCCAAGCCATAATTTCTAATCTTGTAAATAATTTGTTAGTTTTACAAAGGCAGTCTGGTCCCCAGGCAATGAGTGAGTTTGTTTCAGGGAGGGGCTGTTACCATCTTTGTTTCAAAGTTAAACTATAAACTAAACCCCTCCCAAAGTTAATTCAGCCTACACCCAGGAATGAACAAGGATACCTTGGAAGTTAGAAGCAAGATGGAGCTGGTTAGGTCAGATTTCCATCACTGTCATAATTTTCCTATGTCAGATTTTTCTCACTGTTATAATTTTTGCAAGGGCACTTTGAGTACGTGAGCCTCAATCTTTTTGTTTGGCTGTTTTGGTTGTTTTTTGTTGAGGAGGGGAGGCAAGGCAGAGAAAGCTGTGTCACACCTTTTTAATCTTAATCTTGGCACCTTTTTTTTTTTTTTTTTTTTAATACTCAGCCACTAGTCACTGTGGAGGACTCTGTCCATTGCTTAAGGCATTGTGTGTTGAGGGAGTCAATAAAGAGTTGTCTTAAATTCTTGTCCAGCTGCGTGCCTCTGGCCTTGGAATTACAGTTTCTTAGACACTCCTAGCTCTTGGCTGACTTTAAGGCAATGCTTCTCACATTTACTCCTGTCCAGGAGGAAATCTGTTACATTTTACCTTGGGGGTAAATACATCAAATAAATTTCCTTTTTTTTTTTTTACATAACTACACTAAAATGAGATGCCTACATTACATAAACTTAAAACTTAAAACTCCCTTGAAAATTGTATTTAATACTTTGTTGACTGAGCAATCACCCAAAAGGCTTCTCATCTACCAGAAGGGATATGTAGACCAGTATCACATAATTAGCTGATGATTAAATTATTTGGGAGCCCATAAATGTTCCATTTGATTTAGCAAAGTTCAAGTAAAACACAGTTATAGTGTCTGAAATATCTATTATTGGGGGAGAAAATGGACACATAGATTATATGTAAAATAATAAACAAGAGTAAAAAGCTATTTCTTTGTAGTAACATATTAGTAGCAGATTGCATTTTTAATTGTTTTTTCTGATTGTAAAAGAACTTTACATTCATTTTTGGAAAATTCAGGATTATATAAAGGTGCTAAAAAGAAAATAAAAATCACCTAATAAAAAATTTTACCACCTAGTGAAAAACCATAGTCAACACTTGGCTATTCTTTCTCTTTTTTCAAGGCCTTTATGTTCTAATGATTTTTTAAAAGTTAGAATCCTACTGTTTAATACAAAAAAGAATAATGAAATTGTACAAAGTAACACATATATTGGTTAAAAGTCAGATAACATTTAAAGTCATAAAATTACAAAAAAAAAAAAAAAAGTCCCCACCTTAGCCCTAATTCTTGTTCTCCAGAGCAACCACTTATACCGTTTTTTAGCTGATTATTGTACTTATAGTTATGTTTCTAAGTATGCTTTTATTGTCACTTCATGAGTGGCCCAGAATGAGTATAGAATTGGAAGTCAACAATTCATTTAAATATTTCTTTATTATGGAGCATTTAGGATGTTGGAAAGTTTTACTGTTATGGGTAACATGACAGCTAATATCCTTCTACACACACACATGCTGTACACCTCTCTTCTGTTGTTTAGAATGAATTTCTTG